TTAAATCTATACTGCAATTAAATATCGCTTGTGAATCTTCAGATATATCATCTAAAACTTTAAATGAATATTTGTAGTTAATTGCATCTTCAACGAAATAGCACGGTCCATGTTTATCTATCAGAACAAATTCCCCGCTCTTCTTCCTTTATAGTTATCTTCTTCTTCCTATCAATGCATCCCTATGTGAAATGGCGCCCTTCTTAGATTGTTATCTAAAATTTCATGTTTCTTCTCATTGTCGGTGCTCGTCGAACCCAGCAAACATCCCCTTCTTTTTAATTTCTCCAATTTTTTTTGGATTTTTGCTTTGCTCGTCTTTCGCTGTCTCCCGCGCTTTTTCCTCTCGTCGAATGCAGAAAATTTCGCCGAAGCCCCACGAGTTCGCCTCTTTTTAAATTCTTAGGGTTTCAATTCGCCAATCTCTCTGTCTTCTTTCTCCCATGGCCGCCTACTTCTATTTTATATTTCTCATCTTCTTCTTCGTCATTGCCGTTTGCTTTTGGATTCGACATTCACCATTGTTTCTCTAATTGAGGTAAACAGAGTCATCTTTGTCAATAAATGATTTTTCGATCCACTTATTCTTTTGGATAGATTTTCCTTGTCAATAAATGGAATCAACTTTGCCAATAAATGATATATATGCAACTTTGTCAAGTTGATTCCGTTTACCTCTCCGATTGAGGAAAACTTCCTCATTTCTTCGTCATAATGAGACTAAGTAATTCATAATTGCTAAACATGATTACTGGATGTAATCCTCTACTCCACTACCCTCTGTATTGGCATGTGCTGCAGTCTGACGTCTCATCTAAACTGTTGATGGCTAACGGTTTCATCCTATCCGCTCATGTCGTTTTCTCTTCTTATCCTTACTGAGTATATGTATGTTGCTACAGTAAATGCAAAGTAGTACAACAGAGGATTTTCTATTTCCTTGGTTTCTGCAATGTCTTATTCCTCGTTGCTCTGCTTTTCTTTTCTTGTCTGTGTTTACAGGTATCAGAGACAGAGCTTCAACATTCACCACATCTTCTTCGTCGATGCCATGGAACCTTCCGGTCGGCTGGCCAGAGAAGGGAACGGCATCAAGCCAGTTTTGCGGCGATGCATATCGTATATTTCTTATATATACGAGAGGTAAACAGTAAGTTCTGTGCAAAGGCGTTTGGTTGCTCTAAACTACCAAACAAATCTGATGGAAATGAGAAAATTGATAAACGTGGAAGCAAAACTAACTACGACAGGTAAACCGAAAGTTTTGTGTGAGTAGAATAAGATATTTGAGAAGAATTTTTAATCTCTGGGTTAAAAAATTTAGTGTTTGTCAATAAATGAGGAAGCTTTGATATTATTGAAAATTTTGTATGTGCATTTTGGCTAATAGGCAATTGGAGAAGTGATAACGAAAGCAAAAATAGATTGTGCTTTTGTTTTGGACAGATTTTCTTAAAGTTTTCTATGGTTGTTTTTTAGTATAAATTTTTTCTTCCCCTTTTAAGCCCTTTTTTTTTGGGAACCCCTTTTAAGCCCTAAATTCCTATTTCAAGTTTTCTAGGGTTTGCAATTTGGTAATATCTCTGTTTCCTTTCTCCCATGGCCGCATGATTTTTTTTACATACCTCAATTTATTCTTGTCATTATAGTTTTGTCCCTGGAGGAGAAACAACGGTTCACCAATTGATTTCGTCATTGGTCCAAGTCGATGTCTGAGCGGTTGGGCAGAGAAGGGAATGACATCTATTTACTTCAAAATTTTGATATCTTAATAATAGTAGCTTCTTCTCCTGTTGGATAGTTGTATGCTTTTCTTCCTTTCAATTTCTTCTACTCTACAGTATTTTTCTCCTCTCTACATTGTTCCTCTCTATGTTTTTCCTCTAGCAAAGGTGGATTTTCTTGAATTTTTCATGATTTATTCTTCAAAGGTGGATTTTCTTGAATTTTAAACTTTTACTTGTGATTTCTTTTCTCTTATCTACTTTTTATAGTATATCGTACTTAGCCTATTCCCAGGCTCTCACTTTACTTCTATTTAGAAAAATCTATCCATTCTCTTGTCCAATGAGATAGCACAATTTTAGTGTTCCAACGTGATGTTTTTTATGAAATGTAATGCAAGTTTTTTCTTACTTTGTTGCACTTAATTCAATTGAGTTCATAACTATACTTAATCCCCACTACATATCATTGTATTTCAACTCCTGCACCAATACATAGAATTAGCATTCATACTATTTAGATGATTATTCAAATTAGCTTTCAAAATTAAAATTGTAGTTAAAATAATATTGTTTTTTTTTTACATCCTTATTGTAAATTAGTGCTGTTGTTGATCATTCAAGCTACTACAAATTATCTTTGAAGTATAATAGCTTTAATTTCACTAGAACTCCTAATATCCTTCAAACTTTGTGTTGTTATTTATCTTTTAGCACTTTATATATACTAGCTATAGGGTTTCTTACTATTTGACTATAACTTGACCTTTTTTTCTCATCGGTTTTAGAATGTGAAACATGTTTTTTCTATTTTTAAAAACTGTAGTGTCGTCAATTTTGGTATTATCTCCCTATATAATATTATATCTCTTATCATATAAATTCAATTTTTTATTAACTTCGTGATGGCAATTTTTTTTTTTTAAATTTCTTACTACTTCATGAATTGTTGGTGCAACAACCCCTGTCCATCCCTTCCAACGGCCAATTTCGCTCTGCTCACCTATCACTCAAGGTAAATTTATTAGGATAAACAATTCATCAATTGCCAAATCATATAATTAATTGTTATTTAAGTATTAAACATTATCATTTCATCAAGTTGGATTATATATTTGAATAAGCCAAACTATATTTGGACAAGGGATGAGCAAATGAGATACAATCTTGTTCTCTCCATCCCATCACTCAAGATAAAGTTATTAGGATATATAATTTATTATTTGTCAAATCATATAATTAATTGATATTTGTTTATTAAACATTATCATATCATCAAGTTGGATTATATATTTGAATAAGTCAAACTGTGTTTGGACAAGGGATAAGCAAATTAGATAAAATATTGTTCTCTATTTACATATGATGTGAATTATACTGCATTGCTTCTATTAATTTTGCTCATCAAGCTCTAATTCTCTATGAAGTTGCTTCTTCGTGAGATCTTCTTGGTGTTCTATTCTATTCTCTAAAGCTATCATTTTTATAATGTACCATGATTTATGTCAATTTGTGGTATGCTTTAGGAAGATTTGTTTGAATTATCCTCATGTTATTGTTATCGTTTAATCAAGCTGGATTAAGTCTTCAAATTAACCAAACTATGTTTGGATGAGGGATAAGCAAATTTTTTTCTATTTGCATATGATGTGAGTATGCTATATTGCTTTTATGAATTTTGCTCATGATTCTTATAATTTCTTATTTATACATTAATTTTTATGTTGCATTTCTTATCCCTCTTACTGAATTGATTATATTTTTTTAAATAAATATAACAAACAATATATTTCATGTATTAATGTCTAAGTTCATTAGACTTTTAATAGTTTTTTGATTTTTTCTATAAAATATTTCAAGAGGAAATATATATTGGTGCCTAAACTTTTATTATGCTCTATAGTTTCTTGGTTTTTTTCTACAAAACGTGGCAAAAGAAAACATATATTGGTGTCTAATGCATTTTCCCTCCATTTATCTCCTTGAATATGAGATGGCTGAGTGAAACCAAATGCAATCCACATTCAGATTAAATCATCTTTATTAAACTCATGAAAACAAAATGCAAAATAAATTTGTATAGGATTTGGCAGACATATATAACTTACTCTTAAGATGAAAAATATATAATCCTGACACAATGTTGTAATACTTAAATTGCTTCCTAAAATTGTCATCACTTGCCTTTCATCCAAGTTAGAATTTAGAACCTCACCAATGACCTTTGCTGATAGTGAAGTTCCTGTAAGGTTTTTAGCTCTCTCCAATACTGATTGTTAATTTTTTATGATCATTATGGTTATCTACATCAGAAAATTTATGATAATTAAGAAGCTACAAACACTCTGATGCGTCTTTAACGTTAAAACAACAAATAAACATTTGAGTTATCTTTTTTTTAGCTTAAGAGCAATTTTTTACTAATTACAATTTAATTTTTAAACAATAGAACATTTAGTTGTAGTTAACATGCAATGTTTAGAACTTTAGTATTTTCAAATATTTATATGATTATTTGGGTATCATCACATTTCACATATCATCAAAAGACACAACTTATCATTTATGTTTCTTAGTTTCAATCTTTCCTAATCTTTTTATCATCTTGAACCTTTTGTTACGTTGATATATATATAGCTGTTGTAAGAAGGTAAAACGTCGATATATATATTTTACTATCACTATATTAGGAAGCTTTGGTTTCTCTATTTAGTTCTTGTTCTTTTGTCTGCTTGCAACTACTTTCTTTTGTCTCTTGCTACTGAACCATCATAAATATATGTGTAAATTTTGATTTGTGATTTCTTTTCTCTTACATACTTTTAGAGTAAATCGGGTATTCCCTCGAGGGCCTTTAATTGATTTAATCGAGTCCCGGCGGGTTCAATTCGAACTCGAATCGACTCGAGTTGGGTCAAATTAGACTCGACGAAGTTCGAATAAATGTGATTAGCGCCCATTAGCCTCTTTGAGCGCAATTTGACCCTAATTGACTCAAATTAAGCCGAATCGGGTCTGATTTTGAACTCAATTTTAATTCAATGTTCTTTAATTTGATTCCAATTGAAGTTTAATGGACTTTCCAAGCAATTTGGATCATCTACTAAATCAAGCAATTCTCAGATAGGCATCGAGCAGCAAGCCGGTATGCGATGATTTCAAAAAAAAAAAAATGGAAGGCATTAACGAGCATTTGATTCATGCCTTTCCGGTCGCTTGGAGCCGTTGAAACGAGCCCCCACTGCCCCTGTTCTGTCCAGGTGGGCCGAGCTCCTGCCCCGTCCCTAGGGTTGGCGTACACAACAGGAGGCGGAAGCCCAGGTGGGCCGAGCTCCTGCCCCTGTTCTGTCGCCCCTCCTCTATTCGCTTAAGCCGCCTCCCTCTCTCGGTCTTCTCCAGTTCGCGAATCACAGGAGACTGAATTCCCCTCTCACTCTCCAGCCCTTGGTTTCGCACGTTGGAGCCGAGCCCGACGCCAGCCTATTCAGTCCCATTCGCAAACTGCAGCGACTTTAGGCGCCGATCCGTCGATCCATTGTCCTAGCCGAACTCCTCCCAGGCAGGTATATCTCTTTCCCCTTCTTCTTCTTCTTCTCTTTATTCTCTCCACCTTGCCCTTCTTCTTCTTCCATTTCTTTCTTCCTTTCCATGTTTTGAAAACTTCTGATGGCAAATGGATGGGGAGGTTTGTTGGCAATGTTTGGATAGAAGTTGCGTTGTTCTCATAGTTCTTGCTAGAAGAATTAAAATCATGACTCTGTAATCATTTATGCTAAAATGACGGAGTTCTGGGTTACTCCATAGAGATGTGATTCCCCTCTTCATGCATATGTTTCATGTTTAAGTTGTTTTTTTTTCTTGCTGAAATTCTACTCTATGGCTTAAACGTTTTTTTAGAATGAATTGCTCTTAGTTTGGTTTTAGAGGAAAATATGCTGAGATCCTTATAGTTTTTTTTTTTTATATAAGAAAAAAAAAAGCTTCTTTTTTTATCAGAAATTTGTACTTGGATATAGAAAGTTGCTAGATGTTATTTTCATTGTAATATGATTTGTTCTAAATGCAAGAATCGTTGAAATCAGTGTTTTCTTTCAAAGGGGTTTTAGAAGGAGAAAGGAACACAATGTATTCCTTGGGTTTTAACACCAAGTGGAGTTTGATAGTCTTGTTGTCTGGCATGGAGATGCGTAATTGTTTTAACTCTAATTCTTAAAGATACATGGTTTCATGAATAGTGGATATGGTTGGATGGGTTTCCCTTCTTAGGGGAATGTGGAAGTTCTGTTTAGCACTTGAGACTCCTTTTGCTAGCATGACATTATGAATATTATTCAAATATTTGTGCAAGTGTATAGTGGGCTTGTCAATGTTTCTTTCGTCGAGGTCGTTTCGTTTTTTTTATGCGATCTGAAATGATTAAACGAGCTTGCATTGTTATTGTTTTGGATCAAGATATCCTACAGAATGAAGCCCTTGCCTAAGAGATGACCTAGATTAATCTTGAATGTTTCTTCCTCAAAAATTTGAGGAGATCTATATAGCTTTATTTTGATGAGTGGATACATTGCCGATTCGTTGTGATTCATTTCCTGTACTTGCCATTTAAGAAATTGGCGTTTCAGATTAATTTGAGATGTAATATTCTTTGTTATACTATCATACCATGACATCTTATTATCTATGAGTTCTTGAAATCATTAAGCTCATGAATCTATGCAACAACAACATCAAGCCTTTATCCCACTACGTGGGGTCGGCTACATGAATCCTTTTTCTCCATTGTGTCCTATTAAAAGTCAAATTCTCATTTAAATCTAATAAAGAAAGGTCATTCCTAATATTTTATAACCAAGTCTTTTTAGGTCTACCCCTACCTTTCTTAACATAAGTCAAATTTAATACCTCTACTCTCCTAACCGGGTCATCGGAAGGCTGCCGTTTTATGTGACCAAACCATCTAAGGCGACTCTCTAATTTTATCTTCTACTGGAGCTACTCCAACCTTTTCACGTATGTGCTCCATTTCGTATTCTATCTCTAAGGGTAAAGCCACTCATCCACCTGAGCATCCTCATCTCTGCCACACTTAACTTAGTATTATGCTTCTCTTTTAATGGCCAACATTCGGCACCATAAAGCATTGCAGGCCTCACTACCATCTTATAAAATTTTCCCTTAAGTTTGAGGGGTACATTTCTATCACATAACAAGAACGATGCATTCCTCCACTTCAACCATCTAACTTGAATTCTGCTGATAATATCCCCATCTATTTCACCATCACTCTGAACAATAGATCCAAGATATCTAAAACGTGTACTCTTATTAATGACTTGATCGCCCAAAGTCACAATCCCCTCACTAGGTCTATTACTACTAAGATTACACTCTATATATTCCGTTTTAGATCTACTCAAGAGAAAATCTTTAGACTCTAAGGTTGACCTCCATAATTCAAGTTTACCTTAAACTCCTTCTCTAGTCTTATCAACAAGAAGAATATTTTTGAAAAAAAATGTTTTGATAAATGAAAGGGAAGGTGCTTAAAATAAGTGTACTGTTCTTGAGAGGATGGATGTATTCCTTATGTTCATCATTCTATTTGTTATAGCCATGACATGGCCTCAATCAAGCAAGTGTGTGAACCATGACTTTTATGATAATTTGCATTGTGGGGTACATTTCTATCACATAACAATCCCGATGCATTCCTCCACTTCAACCATCTAACTTGAATTCTGCTGATAATATCCCCATCTATTTCACCATCACTCTGAACAATAGATCCAAGATATCTAAAACGTTTACTCTTATTAATGACTTGATCGCCTAAAGTCACAATGCCCTCACTAGGTCTATTACTACTAAGATTACACTCCATATATTCTGTTTTAGATCTACTTAAGAGAAAATTAAACCTTTAGACTCTAAGGTTGACCTCCATAATTCAAGTTTACCTTCAACTCCCTCTCTAGTCTTATCAACAAGAAGAATATTTTTGAAAAAAAAATGTTTTGATAAATGAAAGGGAAGGTGCTTAAAATAAGTGTACTGTGCTTGAGAGGATGGATGTATTCCTTATGTTCATCATTCTATTTGTTACAGCCATGACATGGCCTCAATCAAGCAAGTGTGTGAACCATGACTTTTATGATGATCTGCTTTGTGTGACTTCGCAACTAATGCATGCAAAGTATTTGTGATAATGCCTATTAAAAGAAAAGAGAAAGGGATTTCTGAGCAAGATGCTTTTGATCATACCAAATCTTCATATAACTTCATCATTGCATAATTAGTATTTCATTGGAGATATCGGTTTATGAATGACATGTTTGGTTACTTATGAGATGTAACTAAAAATGAAAAAAAAAAAATTGTGTTGTCTTTGTTGGTGGCAAGATGCTTTGGTTGAGATACTTGTTGATTCAAGATCTCTAGACATTTGCCGATGATAAATTTGTATGTAGGAGAATTGAATGTGATGAATATCATTTCGAGATTGGATGTGTTGATATGGTCGGACACTTGATGACATATTGCTTATATTGTACATCATACCATCCGAAGTCTCATATGGGGGTAGTTAGAGATTCTTTGCTTTACGGATCATGACATTGGTATATCTTCCTTATGATTATCGAAATTTTGTTGCCTCTTGGCTTTGTAAGCTTGTGAATGTAAATCTCGTGATATATATATATATATATATCAATAGCTGGAAGCTTTCTTAGACCACTTGATACATATGATGTAGAGTTGGAGAGCAACCATGAGCTTCATAGTTGTTAACTTATATCATGGGAAGCATGCTTAGTTACAAGGTTAATGGATGATGAGATATCTTTATGCTTATTCAAAAGATGTTTCTTCTTCACTTGTTGGGTATTTATGCGAAAGATATGATTGGAAAGTATCACTTCTTTGTGAAAATTTCTACAGTTTTTATGGATTTCTTTCTCACTGGTTTTGTGGGAAACGAGTGCGGATTTTGAGAGCTTTCTCACTGTTTTTATACAAGAACCCCTATGGCACTTGGGTGAATATTTTATCATTTTTATGTGGAAATTCCTACAGCTTTTACGGAGCTTTTCTCACTGCTTTTTGTGAGAAATGAGTGTAGTTTTTGAGTGGTTTTCTCACTGATTTTTACACAGGAATTTCTACAGCATTTAGGAGGAACCTTTTTTGCTTTCCTAAGAAAATTCCTATTTCTTTTGTATTTTATTTTTCTCTATTTTTTTGTGAGAAACGAATGCTGATTTTGATGGGTTTTATACTCCAAACTGATTTGGAGATGAGCTTGATGCATACTTTCATGAGTTTTATACTCCAAATTGATTTGAAGATGAGTTGTAGTGCTTTGGTGCAAGTTGGAGCTCTACATTGGTAGTATCTCATAAAGTTCATGGTTATAGTTATGCTTTCAAATTAAAGATCTTCATGAGCATATGTTATTTTGTTTGAGGGATTCCACTGCCATTTGATATTTCTTATATATACTTGCTTACAATTTTTTTTTTTGAATTAAAGCTTTCTTTGAATTCTCAGTGGCATGTAACAAGAATGTTGGAAAATGGTTTGTAAGCTTTAAGAAGATATCCTTGTGTTTTGAGATTTTTTTTTTTAAGTCAGCGAAACTTTCTACCCCTACTTTTATAGAAATCTAAAAAAAGGTACATGTGAAAGGACTTGTGAGTTTTCTTTTCTTTTTCTTTCTTTAAGACTTTGCTTAATTATCATATATTTGGGGATTTTACTAGTACTAAGGAAGTATGCTGCTTTTTTACTTTCTTTCATAGATTTGGACGAAATTTTGGTTATGATGAAATGTCGATCTTTTGCATGTTTTGGAAGTTTGTGAAACTTTCTTGTTGAAGAGTTTTAATAAATCTACCCCACGCCAAAAAGATAAGAGCACTTGATTGTTTCGTTTTGTGTCAAAAGAGTTATGGGTGGATCGCTGATATAGAGTTTTATGTGTTGTTTTATTTGAAAGTTTTTCATAAGTCGTTTTGGGATTTAAGATTTTTTTTATTAGCTTTGTGTAGCAAAGTCTCTTTATGTCTTTTTGGAGCAAAATGATATTTAGTGTGGATTGCCTATCTCTTGTTCGTGTTTTCTTCTAGTAGGATTTTGGATAAATGTGGAATGAAAGCTTATTTTGAGTTTTGGTTTTGAGAACTTATTCCCTTTTGTCACTTTGAGCTTTTTTTAGAGGATAGTTAAGTTATTTGAGTTGGGTTTTTATTTAAGTGTTTTGTTTGGAGCGTGGGGACAACAAAGGACATTAAAAACACCTTCCCTATTCACATCATATTAAATTGGGATGAAGGGTGTTTTAGAGGCATACTTGACTTCAAAGAGGTATGCCCAACAATAAAAATATCTACATTCCTTTCATTATTTTGATCTTGCATTTCTTTCTTTTTATTGCATTTTATCATCATTCTCTTCTTTACTTTTAGTCTTTTTGTTGCTTTTCTTACTTGTGATTTAAAATCAAATGCCTTGCAAAATGAGAAAACCCAAATGGCAAGTAACCCACCCGATGTGCAAATAACTAAAATGTACGTTCTTATTTAATTTGCATTTCTTATTTTTACTATTATTTGCTTATCATATAGAACGTGCTTTAATATAATCTCTTTTATGTGTCTTTCGAGGTGCTTCTTTTGGAGAGCAAAGGAGAAGGAGCTTTGGAGCACTAGGCGAAGGAGCATGGACAGTCGGATCCGAGCATCAATCACCCCATTCAGTCTGATGGGGGCGCTACGGGTGGAACCACCGGGTCATAGCCCCGGTGCTGTAAGTATCCTTAAACATAGAAAACCTTTAGGGGCCCCAATGGTTGTACGCTTCCTACTCTTTAGGACCTTGTAGAAACCTCATTTATAACTAAAATTATTTTCTTTTATTTAAATCCCTAAACTTGTTGACACATGTATGAATGTCTTAAGGATTAGAAGCAGGACATCTTTTTCATCCCATAATTTTAGTGACACATAAGGACAAAAATTAAGGACCGAGTCTTAGATAACATAGACTTAGGGTGCATGTTCTTTTTAGGATAAGGACTTTAAAACATAGAAAACTTAGTGACACATTTTCTTAGGATTCATGTCTTAATATATTAATGACTAATCAATAAAATCGGTAATACTTTAAGTCAAAAATACTAATCCCACTCTAGATTTAGGGTTCAAGGCTACTGCATAGGGTGTCTCGCAGTATGCCTAAATAGTAGGTAAGTCACTTCTCTTCAAGGACCATAAATCCTGCTTATCCGTGTCGCGTAAATTATGCCACTTCTATCCTCTCTCTCTGTATGTTTTGAGTGCATTATTTTCTCTCTCCTCAACTACCTCAGTCCCTCCGAGTGTGGATGTGAGCCGTGCATGTTGACCAAGCCAAATTGAGCCATTTCTTTCCTTTTGAGTAGGATTTCCTAGTCTCCTCTTTGTGTACCAATCCCTTTTTCGGGAAGAATAATATTAGATCCTTAATCAAGAGTTTTCTTGGGCCCTAGGCTCGAGATGTAATTAACTACAGGGGCTTGCGCCCATGGGGAACAGAATTCCACATTAAAAAAAACTCCACTCGAGCTAATGTATCGGGTGGGGGAAACCCGTGACTGTGATCAGGCCATGCATATTATTACCCATCGAGGTGTGTAGGTAAGAGTCACTATTCTCCATGGTTAGTCGTATGTGCGATCAAATCAGCCCTTCCATTGGCCCATTTGCGAGGAGCGTAGAGTCCTGCAATCGTTTCTATCCCTCGGGGTAGGTGCGGTCGTATACCCCTCTGCGATCCTACAGCCATAGCGGTGTCCTTTCGGAGGTCCACAAATATTTCAAATTAACTTTAAAAATTGAAACTTTTGTTAAAATTATAATGAATTTTTTTACACCCTTACTACTAATTAGTGATGTTGTTGATCATTCAAACTACTACAAATTAGCTTTAAAGTACATTAGAACTCTTAATATCATTCAAAATTGATGATGTTGTTTATCTTTTGGCACTTTATATATAGTGGCTATAAGATTTCTTGTTGCTTGAGTGTGACTCGATGACTTTTCCTCATCATTTTTAGAATACCAAACTTATTTTTTCTATTTTAAAAAATTGCATTGTCATTAATTTCAATATTCTCTCCTTATATCACATTATATCTCTTATAATATAAATTTATTTTTTATTTAATTCATGATAAAAGAAATTTATTTTATTTCTTACTAATGTATGAATTTTTGCTGCAAATGATTTTTTTAAATCTAATTTAGAGTTAATTTCTTTAATACAATTAGTCTACTTATCAAACTATTAAAAGAATAAAATTAAAACATCCATATATAATTTTGATATTATCTCCTAATATCACATTATATCTCCTATCATATAAAGTTATTTTTTTATTTAATTTATGATGACAAAAATTTGTTTTATTTCTTACTAATGCATATTTCATACTTTTGTGTTTGTATAATGCTAATGATTATTAACGTCTGTGAGTTTGTCTTCTATTCAGATAAATTTACTTATTAAAAAAAGAGATCTAATTAGGTGGAATAATTTTGCATGAAAACTAATGAAGCATTTGTTTTTATTTAACCATTATTTAGAGCTTACACAATTCTTTGAATTGTAACATATTTTTTTCTTTTTCATTTACAATTTCAATTATTATTCCACTTATTTTTATGTTTATTAAATTTTAATGTATTGATTTTCTCTTCATTGAATGCTTATGAGTATTGGTCATTTAATTTATTTTTTAACTTTTTTAATATCATTTAATTTATCAATATTATAGAAAATTTTTATAGATATATTTATTATGATGGGCCAAAGTAAAAATAAAAAATAAAAAAAAAACTAAAATGTCTATTGAAGAAAAATAAAAAAATTTAGCACTAGTAATATTGCTTGAAAAAGAAAAAAATAATATTCTAATTTAGAAATTGCTTGTTTGCCATCAACATCAAATTCTTCAGGTTTATTTTTACTAACATAAAATTATTATGTTATATCTATTTTATAATTATAAAAAATTAAAATATTTTATCTTTTAATAAACAAATATAGAAACATCAAATATCAATGATGTTAATATTGATTACGATTCAAGTTTGTTAGAATTACATTTTCTCAAACAACGACATTCATGTTGTTTTTATAATGTAAGATTATTTAAATTTGAATCACCAACATTTTGCCGTTACCAATGGAGAAGTCGTGATTATTCTGACCAATATTCCTGATTAACTATATGAATTATTCATATCTTGTTCATCTGATTCAAAAAAATTTAGAAGTAATATTAAAGCATATAATAGTATATTTACATTTATATCTTTTGGAGCTCATATAAATAACAATTTGATAAATGCAAGATCATGAATTTATATATTTAGAGCTCAAGGGCAAATTTATTATATTTTATCCTCTATTACAAAAGGTTCAAATGGTCCATGCTACTTTAATTATATTTTTGTGATATTGATGCTGAAACCATCAATCAAATGAATGTTATTGAATATTTAAATATTTCAGAGGAATTAATCAAGAATTTGATGGATATACTTTATGTAAACTCATTACGCATAGTTTTTCAGATCTTTGAGTAATAGAGATATATTGAAAAACTTATAAATACATATTAGATCTGATGTAAGAATATATCAATGAGTTTATAATACTCTTACAGTGTCACAAGTAGTTATAATATGGATTGAAAGTCAAAATACAAGTTTAATTGAACATGAGATGATATTGACTTCATATTCTGGGACATATCATAAAATCAAGCATTATTTTGAATGTTACAACCCTTTTGCGACATCCAATTCTATTTCTAAATGAAAAAGTTGGATGACATCAAAATATGAATTGAATTTCTAGATTTAAAAGAAATGAAGAAATATCAATGTCGGTAATACGATCATCTCCAATAGAACCAGAATTATTTAGCAAAGAAGAAAATGGTATGTCATTATATTTTTTATATTGTTATATAATAATTAAAATAATTTTATTTATAATCAAAATTTTATATTTTTAATTATTGCATATATCAAGAAGATATCAAAAGGAAGAGTTTCATGCAGAGAATATTATAGTTACAAGCATCAAATTCACGAGCGTGAGAAATCAATTTTTTTGTATACTGATATATTACTACATCAATATGTTATCGACATGTACATAAAAATTGAAATAAATCACTTAGACTTCTGCAAACAAAATCAACATATAATATGATATGATTTGTATAAAGGGATTATTGATAGTGTAGCTGCTGGAGAAACACTAAGTAATAGTACTAGAAAAAGAATTATATTTTCACATTCATTGGCAACACTAGAAGGGAAATAATTTGAAGAATCAAAAAATGAAAGTGGAAGTATAATTCTTTTTCCAGTATTATTACTTAGTGTTTCTTCAACGGCTATACTATCTATAATTCATTTATACAAATCAGATCGTATTGTATGCTGATTTTGTCTGCAAAAGTCTAAGCAATTTGTTTCAATCTTTGCGTATATCTCAACAACATATTGATGTAATAATCTACCAGTATACAAAATAATTGATTTCTCATGCTCGTGAGTTTGAAGCTTATAACTATAATATTCTTTGTATGAAGCTCTTTCTTTTGTGTCTTTTTGATATGTGTAATATTTAAAAATATAAAAATTTGATTAGTAATAAAATTGTTTTAATTATTATACAATAATATAAAAAATTTAATAACTTATCATTTTCTTTCTGGCTAAATAATTATTATTCTATTAGAGATGATCTTATTATCGATATTAGTATTTTTTATTTCTTTCAAATCTTAAACTTTGATTTATATTTTGATGTCATCTAACTTCTTTATTTGGAAATTGAATTGGATATTGCAAAGGGTTATAACATTTAAAATAATGTTTGATTTTACTTATATCACAAAATGTGAAGTCAATATGATGTCACGCTCAATAAAACTTATATTTTTCCCTTCAATCCATATTGCTGCTACTTGTGATACTGTATGAGCATTATAAACTCTTTGATTTATTCTTACATTAGATCTAATATGTATTTATAAGTTTTATAACATATCTCTATTACTCAAAAGATCTAAAAAATTATGCGTATGAGTTTACAGAAAATATATACATCAAATTCTTTATCAATTTCTTTGAAAGATTTAAATCTTTAATAACATTCATTTTATTGTTAGTTTTATCATCAGTGTCAAAAAAATATAATTGAAAGTTTCATGGATCATTTTAACATTTTATAATAGGAGGCAGACTATGATAAATTTGTCCTTAAGTTTTAAATGTGTAAATTTCTTGTCTTGCATGTGCCAAATTTTTATCTATATGGCTCCGAAAGATGTGAATGCAAATATATTATTATATATTATAATCTTACTTCTAAATTCTTTTGAATCACATGAACAAAAGGTGAATAATTTATATAATTGATTAAGAATATTGGTCGGAACAAGCACGACTTCTTCATTGTAACAACAAAATGTTGGTAGTTCAAATTGAAATAGACTTGCATTAGAATAACAACATGAACGTTGTTATTTGAGAAAATATAATTATGATAAAATTGATTCATAATCAGTATTAATATCGTTGATATTTTATGCTTTTATATCTGTTTATTAAAAGATAAAACATATTAATTATTTTGAATTATAAAATAGACATAACATAATAATTTTATTTTAGTAAAAATAAACTTGAAGAATATGATGTTGACGATAAACAAGCAATTTCTAAATTAGAATATTGTTTATT